CTTACCCTCTACAATACTTTCACTGGTCTGCCTTACTCTCTGTTATACGTTCACTGGTCTGCCTTACTCTCTGTTATACGTTCACTGGTCTGCCTTACTCTCTGTTATACGTTCACTGGTCTGCCTTACTCTCTGTTATACGTTCACTAGTCTGCCTTACTCTCTGTTATACGTTCACTGGTCTGCCTTACTCTCTGTTATACGTTCACTAGTCTGCCTTACTCTCTGTTATACGTTCACTGGTCTGCCTTACTCTCTGTTATACGTTCACTAGTCTGCCTTACTCTCTGTAATACTTTCACTGGTCTGCCTTACTCTCTGTTATACGTTCACTGGTCTGCCTTACCCTCTGTAATACTTTCACTGGTCTGCCTTACCCTCTGTAATACTTTCACTGGTCTGCCTTACTCTCTGTAATACTTTCACTGGTCTGCCTTACTCTCTGTTATACGTTCACTGGTCTGCCTTACTCTCTGTAATACTTTCACTGGTCTGCCTTACCCTCTGTAATACTTTCACTGGTCTGCCTTACCCTCTGTAATACTTTCACTGGTCTGCCTTACTCTCTGTAATACGTTCACTGGTCTGCCTTACCCTCTGTAATACTTTCACTGGTCTGCCTTACCCTCTGTAATACTTTCACTGGTCTGCCTTACTCTCTGTAATACTTTTACTGGTCTGCCTTACTCTCTGTAATACTTTCACTGGTCTGCCCTACCCTCTACAATACTTTCACTGGTCTGCCCTACTCTCTGTAATACTTTCACTAGTCTGCCTTACTCTCTGTAATACTTTCACTAGTCTGCCCTACCCTCTGTAATACTTTCACTGGTCTGCCCTACTCTCTGTAATACTTTCACTGGTCTGCCTTACTCTCTGTAATACTTTTACTGGTTTGCCTTACTCTCTGTAATACTTTTACTGGTTTGCCTTACTCTCTGTAATACTTTCACTGGTCTGCCTTACCCTCTGTAATACTTTCACTGGTCTGCCTTACTCTCTGTTATACGTTCACTGGTCTGCCTTACCCTCTGTAATACTTTCACTGGTCTGCCTTACCCTCTGTAATACTTTCACTAGTCTGCCTTACTCTCTGTAATACTTTCACTGGTCTGCCTTACTCTCTGTTATACGTTCACTGGTCTGCCTTACTCTCTGTAATACTTTCACTGGTCTGCCTTACCCTCTGTAATACTTTCACTGGTCTGCCTTACCCTCTGTAATACTTTCACTGGTCTGCCTTACTCTCTGTAATACGTTCACTGGTCTGCCTTACCCTCTGTAATACTTTCACTGGTCTGCCTTACCCTCTGTAATACTTTCACTGGTCTGCCTTACTCTCTGTAATACTTTTACTGGTCTGCCTTACTCTCTGTAATACTTTCACTGGTCTGCCCTACCCTCTACAATACTTTCACTGGTCTGCCCTACTCTCTGTAATACTTTCACTAGTCTGCCTTACTCTCTGTAATACTTTCACTAGTCTGCCCTACCCTCTGTAATACTTTCACTGGTCTGCCCTACTCTCTGTAATACTTTCACTGGTCTGCCTTACTCTCTGTAATACTTTTACTGGTTTGCCTTACTCTCTGTAATACTTTCACTGGTCTGCCTTACTCTCTGTAATACTTTCACTGGTCTGCCTTACTCTCTGTAATACTTTCACTAGTCTGCCATACTCTCTGTAATACTTTCACTAGTCTGCCCTACCCTCTGTAATACTTTCACTAGTCTGCCCTACCCTCTGTAATACTTTCACTAGTCTGCCCTACCTTCTACAATACTTTCACTAGTCTGCCTTACTCTCTGTAATACTTTCACTGGTCTGCCCTACTCTCTGTAATACTTTCACTGGTCTGCCTTACTCTCTGTAATACTTTCACTAGTCTGCCTTACTCTCTGTAATACTTTCACTGGTCTGCCTTACTCTCTGTAATACTTTCACTGGTCTGCCTTACTCTCTGTAATACTTTCACTAGTCTGCCTTACTCTCTGTAATACTTTTACTGGTTTGCCTTACTCTCTGCAATATTTTCACTAGTCTGCCCTACCCTCTGCAATACTTTCACTGGTCTGCCTTACTCTCTGCAATACTTTCACTAGTCTGCCCTACCCTCTACAATACTTTCACTGGTGTGCCTTACTCTCTGTTATACTTTCACTGGTCTGCCCTACCCTCTAGAATACTTTCACTAGTCTGCCTTACTCTCTGTAATACTTTCACTAGTCTGCCATACCCTCTGTAATACTTTCACTAGTCTGCCCTACTCTCTGTAATACTTTCACTAGTCTGCCTTACTCTCTGCAATACTTTCACTAGTCTGCCCTACCCTCTACAATACTTTCACTGGTCTGCCCTACCCTCTGCAATACTTTCACTAGTCTGCCCTACCCTCAAGAATACTTTCACTAGTCTGTCCTACCCTCTACAATACGTTCACTGGTCTGCCCTACCCTCAAGAATACTTTCACTAGTCTGTCCTACCCTCTACAATACTTTCACTGGTCTGCCTTACTCTCTGTAATACTTTCACTGGTCTGCCCTACCCTCTACAATACTTTCACTGGTCTGCCTTACTCTCTGTTATACTTTCACTGGTCTGCCTTACTCTCTGTTATACTTTCACTAGTCTGCCCTACCCTCTACAATACTTTCACTGGTCTGCCTTACTCTCTGTTATACTTTCACTAGTCTGCCCTACCCTCTACAATACTTTCACTGGTCTGCCTTACTCTCTGTTATACTTTCACTGGTCTGCCCTACCCTCTGCACATACGTTCACTGGTCTGCCTTACTCTCTGTTATACGTTCACTGGTTTAACCTCTGCCACATATCACTGATAGCCTAGTTCCTGGGAGGACGTCTACTGCCAACGTTTTCACTCCTGTGTCACAGGGGAGGAAGCAGATCTCGAGGAACCAAGTCACTCATTCATGTTTCTAGGATGAAATCTTATTCACGAAAGACCGCTGCTAGTGTGACGTTACACTGGGTTCCTGCATCCCCGATTGGTTCTGTTCAAACGGACATACCAACGCTTTACATTCCATTCATCTTTATGGCTAAGGTTTCCTTGTTTGTGTCCTAAACATCAATACCGAGTGTGTCAGTTGGGTTCAGCTTGATGTGGGGGGAGAGTTCTCCAGCTTGCTGAAATCCACTAACACGGATATGGTTCTAACAAAAACATAATAGACCCGTGAAGATCCATGTAGAATATGTCTTCAGCAACCCATGCTTGCCATAAAAGGCGACTATGCTTGTCGTAAGAGGCGACTATCGGGATCGGGTTGTCAGGCTTGCTGACTTGGTTGATGCATGTCATCGTATCCTAATTGCGTGGATCGATGCTGATGATGTCAATCACTGGATTGTCTGGTCCATACTCGATTATTTAAAGACCACCGTCATAAAGCTGGAATTTTGCTGAGCGCGGCGTTAAACAACAAACAAACATAATACGGGCGAACCGGGATTTGAACCTATCGTCAGATTTCGGGTAGGCCTATGGGATGCAATCCCAGCGCCTTGGACAAGTGGACCGACCACGCCCCAGTGCGATAAAGTTTTGTTCTGATAAGGCCCTGATAAATGCCACAACATGCACACATTCTGCAGTACCTCGTCTCGCCAAAGAAAAGTGAAAAACTCTTTTCACGTTCATAAGCAATCTCGAAAGGTCGACTGTACGATTGCGACCATACCATGAGCATGTGTCCTTGAATCACCATCAAATAGTGATGGTACCAGGTGTTTATGAAATGGTGAGTAGATCTTGCCCCATCGCTGGCACACCATCACAAACACATGCAACAGCAAGTCAATTATTCACCGGAAAAAAAAAATTCAATTTTTTTTTTCAAAATAGGGCACTGCGTTGGCTATAATTTTTCTCACTGATGCAACAAATTTGGGAATGTCAATCATCCACATGTCAGCCATTTAACTTTTTGAAAGCTTTATTGAGGCCTTGAATGCTGTAACCTTGATGAAACCACTTGAGAAGAAATGGACCTTAAAGATACCAGTGCACACACATTCCTCACACAAACCTCGTATCATTAACAGGGCTAACCCACAACTGGACTCTGCCGCCGTAGACGACTGGGCCACCTGTACCGCGCCTCATTTAAAGATTTCCTTCCTTCAACGCTATTGTTGACTACAGCTGCCTAGATCCTTCTTTAACAATTTGCATAGCAAGGAAGTTAAACGTAAACCTTGAACCCGTCTTCCAGCTGACATACTGACCTACCCCTAAACACACAACTGATAAGTGCTTGTGAAACATGTGACTAACTGAGTGAGCAGGCTTTCCCCCAAAAAGAGGAAAACTTGGGTGGGGGGTAAACATTTGATTGCATCTTAAGCAATTTCGTGCAGTTTGGACAACATTCGCACCAAGAAATGTAATAAGTCAATGACAAAAGTGAAGTCAAATAAACAAAGATGGTGGATGCAGTAAAATTTTGAAGTTAAATCAGCATGCCACACCTCACATTATAGTGCAAGTATTCGTGATAGAAAACGTATGATGTTCGAAAACCAAGGATCCGACGATAATAGTATTGTGATATGAATAATAATAAGGCATATATGATGCTGAAAACTCTGATCGAAAACAGGATAATTCGCGACGGTTGTCCAGAAACGCGATAAAACACCAGTATTATTTTTAAATCTTTGATTATATTTACGCGGGAGAATATTTTTTGAGGACAACATATTAAAAAAAAACGAATTTCCTCGTTCCCGCGGAGATTTCACATCCCTGAACTGTCTCAGAGTTCCAGTCCTGCAAACTGGTCTCCCGTTGCGCCAGATGGGACATTACAAGAAGTCCCTGCTGTCACAAGACGTCTATACGTAGAACTCCCTGCTGTCACAAGACGTCTATACGTAGAACTCCCTGCTGTCACAAGACGTCTATACGTCTAATGTACACTCACAGATCTCAAACAGATCAAATATGCTTTGATAAAGGACAAATATAAAGCCTTGAGTTGAAAACATTTTATCACAAAATAAGATCTGAAAATATGTGTAAGAAAACTGTACTCAGCAGCGGAATGTGTGGCGTTCATGACGCCCGAGATATAGCATCCCAGTATAACCAACATCAGCAGTCAATATATTACATGAGTATAATCAAATGCTGGCAACATATATTTTGGACTAACCTTCTGTATGTCAGACATTTCTAACCAGGTTAAAAAACAGATCAGTCAGTTTTTCGCGTCGACCATGTAGGAAGTTTGCGCAGACTTTTTGATGGAATTGTAAAAATTAGTTGAAACAGGCATTGTAAATGTTAAAAACCAATGTTCATATACACAGACACAGATACACAGTCTCTGGATATACACCAGTGAACGTAAGCTAAAGGCGCCCCTATTCTGAAAACTCATAAAAAGGAGATGTGGGTGAAACATGCTAATCAGTTCGCGTATAAATAACACTGAGTGCCTGTGTAGAGCCACAAGCAAAATAATAAATTTGGAATACAGAAAACTACGGATATATCGAACTCAAAGGGAGCTCTAATTCTAGTTCGTTATAGTTGTTAGTATTAATGGTGTATACACTATATATACAGCAAGTTGCTGTGACCACAAAGGACAGTTCGTTATATCCGTCAGTCCCTTATTATCATGTTCGTTTTAAACGTAGTTTACTGCAATGATATCAGGACCTTCAAGTATTTCACCTGTCAGAAATATTCATTCTTATGTATAAATCTGGATCATGGCATAGAACGTTTCAAAACTAGCAGTTCTAAGTTGGCATGTGTGACAAATATAGTTTGATTTGATGAAAATAAAATAAAAGTATATTATGACCAACAAGCTTCCTAGAAAAGCATGATGATGAAATACCTGAGTGGAACACCCATTAGACCCAGAAACAAAGAATCATTTATGGTCAAATTGTTTACCATCACGCACAGGAGCTAACAGTAAAATCACAATCTCATAAAAAGATCTGACCATCTCCCATGACAACTCACATCAGAACAACCCTTCACAAACTTTGAGCGACCAATGACAAGATTACCAGGAACTCACAATAAGCCAATCAGAAAGCCGCTTTCTCAAGGATAACGGTACCAGTTTCAAAGTGGAGACTTTCATTTCAGTCAAGGAATGAAAAGTAGTTTGATACCATTCTTGATTTAAAATTTGCAAAATGAACAAACAAAATTTGGGAATGTATGATGGAAAGGTGAGATTGCATTACAATAGTTTCTGTTTCAAATGTTTATCCCTTTGAAGGAAGAGATAGACGATGACTTTGACAGAATCAGCTGGACAACCATTAACTGTTATTGGGAAAACCCCTGTTAACCGTTTGCATGATTATGAAATGTATTCAGACTTTCACGTTTACAATACCGTAGCAACACTCTGATTGGTCGGATGAAAGGTCATTCTGACGTGACCTGTAATAGGATGTCCTCAGATCTATGCACAGTAGCAGAGAGCCATAACATCTCATGTATCTCATCTCAACAATAGGACAGAGTTTGGATAAATGCTGGTTTGAATAGTATTCTAATTCTATCCCTGTGTGTCAGTTTAAAGTGAGTGAGTGAGTGAGTATGGTTTTACACCGCTTTTAGCAATATTCCAGCAATATCACGGCGGGGGACAACAGAAATGGGCTTCACACATTGTACCCATGTCGGGAATCGAACCCGGGTCTTCGGCGTGATGAGCCAACGCTTTAACCGCTAGGCTACCCGACTGACCTGTAATAGGATGTCCTCAGATCTATGCACAGTAGCAGAGAGCAATAAGATCTCATGCATCTCATCTCAACAATAGGATAGAGTTTGGATAAATGCCGGTTTGAATAGTATTCTAATTCTATCCCTGTGTGTCAGTTTAAAGTGAGATATAATGTGATGCTGGTGCTTAAAGATTTCCACTTTGGTGAAACTCATGTGTAGACAAACCTAGAATGTTAATCAGAGCAAATCTGGGATTTGAACCGAAGTTCATAGAAGTCCAGACAGCGAACTACCTCAAAACAACCAGGTTACATGTGCCCCTTACTGATGAAGAATAAACCCCTTATTAATAAAGAATTGACTCCTCATTGATAAAGAGGTGCCCTCTGCTGGTTACAGATAGATATGTTGTCAAACAATTAACTAGTTAGCAAGGTCCATCAGTTAGCCAGGTTCGTCATTTTGAAGATCCAGGCATAGTCACACGGCATCTCATTAAATCCAATCTCAGGAATGTCAATCATGACCCCTGACCCTGTGGGGTTAGGCATGTAGGTCAAAGGTTTTGGGTAGCCTAGCAACGTGACATTGGTCTGCTTGGTGACCCTCGGAGCATCAAGACCAAGGATGCTTCCCTTAGGCCAGTCAAGCACGAAGGCATAGATGGACGTCTGAAAGGGGGCGGATGTCGACTTCTTCATCGTGTACCTGGAACAGGAACAAACAGCTGGAGTGAGTGAGTGAGGATGACGTGTGTGAGTGAGTGACTGCGTGTGTGAGTGAGTGGCTGTGTGTGTGAGTGAGGGTGTGCGTTCATGAGTGACGTGCGTGAGTGAAGTGCGTGAGAGTATGGGTGTGAGTGAGTGAAGGTGTGTGTGAGTGAGTGAGGGTGTGCGTTCATGTGTGAAGTGCATGAGTGACATGCATGAGTGAAGTGCGTGAGAGAGTATGGGTGTGAGTGAGTGCAGGTGTGTGTGTGTGAGTGAGTGAGGGTGTGCGTTCATGTGTGACGTGCATGAGGGAATATTGGTGTGAGTGAAGGTGTGTGTGTGTGAGTGAGTGAGGTTGTGCGTTCATGCGTGCTTGCGGGAGTGAGTGAGGCTGAGTGAGTGAGTGTGTGTGTGTGTGTGTGTGTGAGCGCTTGGGGGCGAACAGGACAAACCCACAACAGACAAACCCACAATCATCGGTTTCTGGCGTTCACAAGGGACACAATTCTGCACCGCAATTTGCGGCGCCTTAGACGACTGGGGCACCCTTGTCAGATATAGATGCTTACGTGCAGGAGAACTTATGACTCTAATGACATGAACCTTTAAGTGAGGTGACGTGAAATGGGGCTGGCTTATTGACGTCATGTTCAAGATTATTGCACTTCTATAGTGATGTGCGTGAATGTGATAATGTGTGCGTGCTTGCATGCATGTGTATGTGTGTGTGTCTGCATGCATGTGTGTGTGTGCACATGTGATAATGTGTGCGTGCGTGCATGCATGTGTATGTGTGTGTGTGCGCATGTGTGTGCGTGTGTTTCACATTCATAGGCTTGCAGCAGATGTGAGACACAAAACAAATGGTGGCGCCTCAGACGCCAGGGCCACGTGAACAGAATGGATGCCACTAACAACACTGCACCAACTCACCACACGTTGGGTGTGACTGTATCGTTCTGGTGGGACCATGGCTTGGAGGAGTACACAGCTTCCCCATTCACTTTCAGCCACGCCCCCAGCTGCCTCAGACGTTCCTCGAAGACCGGGACAATCCGTCCGTCGTGTGTGGGGCCCACATTGATGAGCATGTTGCCCCCACAGCTGTGGAACAGACATTACAACATTACACCTGGACATGGCCAAACACAAACTAGTCTTGGTTCTCATACACTGGAAATTCAGCAAAAAAAACCAGATAGAAATGTATGTTTCTACAGCTCTTGGACTAACTTGCACAATGACCTCCTGTCTCTATGACCTCCTGTCTCTATGACAACCAATCTCTATGACAACCCATCTCATCTTCCTGAGGCAAGGGAGTTAACTGACTATTAAAGTACAGTTTCCACCCTTACCTTACCAGGCAGGAATTTCCAGGGCTGATTGTAGTGCCAGCAGTGGCTATTACGAGTTATATCCTCTTTCCTATTCTCCTCTCGTATCACTTGCATTTGTTACAAGATAAATGGCAGAGCCCATTCAGGACGGTCTGATCAATAATCAAGACCTATATTGATATAAAACGGTCGTGCCCAGCGAAGTGCATCAAATTTTTGTGCATCAAAGATTTGCAATTTGACGGTACACATGCTTTACAAATCATGAAGTTGACTGAAATCTGCACGTTGTAATCCATGTCGTTTAGGAACCGAATATCTAGTTCGTTACGTGATTTTGATTTCACTATGCATACACTCATTAGTCCAGCCAAAATGTAACTCTGGAATTCCAGCCTTGTTCAGAAAGGGTGGAAATTGGATTTTGTTAGTCAGTAAAGGCCCTTGTCTCAGGAAGATGAACCCATCTCTATGACAAGCCACACCATGACAACCCATCTCTATGACAACCCATCTCTATGACAAGACACTCCATCTCTATGACAACCCACTCCAAGACAAGCCATCTCTATGACAACCCATGTCATGACAACCCATCTCTATGACAACCCACTCCAAGACAACCCATCTCTATGAACAACCCACTCCATGACAACCCATCTCTATGACAAGCCACTCCATGACAACCCATCTCTATGACAACCAACTCCATGATAACCCATCTCTATGACAACCCACTCCATGACAACCCATCTCTATGATCATGATGATAACCCATCTCTATGACAAGCCTGACCCACCTGATTGTCTCTGCCAGTGTCTTAGTGAGCTCCTTCATGGTCATGTAGTCGGCCAGCACGGCCTCGCGACGGTAGCCCCACGACTTTTTGTCCAGCGTCAGGCAGTTCTCCCACTTGTGTTTCTGGAGGAATCCTGGTCAACATATCAATTGCTATGGTTACAATAGGTAATACGTGGTAGTGTCTCATGGTGGCCTTATATAGGAAGACTAATACAGACTACTTCACAAACTATCTACATCCTCAAAGTGCATCCCCGACACAACACTGATGCAGGTGTTATTTCACAGAGCTACATCATCAGGGAGCGTGCTGTGTCCAAAAGCTATCAAGAACATATTCAAGCTGCACTGATCCCTAAAGTTCTCTTTTCTCACCTGGGTTGTAGCGGTCAGAGCAGGTGAAGAAGCCGCCATGTTTGCAGCCCGTGTCCGACCCCCATCGGTCATTGGTCACCACGGTGTCCTTCACTGGGCTGCCAGAGTAGAAGGTAACAAGGTGAGGTGTGAGATCAACATCAAAACTCCCCACTGTGAATAGGTGGCCACAACCATGCTTGGAGTTGAACTCGCAACCGAATGACCGTTATGTTTACAAACAAGTGGCGACTGTCGTGACGCCGTATACACTTATTGCTGCTAAATTACTTTCTTCGTTTGTCAATTTGAATTTCTGTTTCATTAAAACTATCGTGTTATTGATATAGTAAGAATGTAAGGGAGAAGTTGGTTGATTTTCCGTTAGTCTGCAATCTCGAACCAATCTGATTATCAAAACAACAAAGTAAATTCATCTGGAAAACATGGTCAGTCGTAAACTTTTTCAAATTGAAATATGATGGCATTCCCAAAGACATAAACAAAGGTATAAACGTTACTACATATGGGGTTGGAGGGCAAATTTCGAGATTCTTGTAATGGCCACGCCCCCACTGGTGGCAGCGATGTTACCGAGAGTGTAACGAAGGTGTCACACGCTGGGAAGGAGCTTGAGCTTACCTGTCAATGTAGGGCTGTGTGGAGCTTACCTGTCATTGTAGAGCTGTGTGGAGCTTACCTGTCATTGTAGAGCTGTGTGGAGCTTACCTGTCATTGTAGAGCTGTGTGGAGCTTACCTGTCATTGTAGGGCTGTGTGGAGCTTACCTGTCATTGTAGAGCTGTGTGGAGCTTACCTGTCATTGTAGAGCTGTGTGGAGCTTACCTGTCATTGTAGGGCTGTGTGGAGCTTACCTGTCATTGTAGGGCTGTGTGGAGCTTACCTGTCATTGTAGAGCTGTGTGGAGCTTACCTGTCATTGTAGAGCTGTGTGGAGCTTACCTGTCATTGTAGAGCTGTGTGGAGCTTACCTGTCATTGTAGAGCTGTGTGGAGCTTACCTGTCATTGTAGAGCTGTGTGGAGCTTACCTGTCATTGTAGGGCTGTGTGGAGCTTACCTGTCATTGTAGAGCTGTGTGGAGCTTACCTGTCATTGTAGAGCTGTGTGGAGCTTACCTGTCATTGTAGGGCTGTGTGGAGCTTACCTGTCATTGTAGAGCTGTGTGGAGCTTACCTGTCATTGTAGGGCTGTGTGGAGCTTACCTGTCATTGTAGGGCTGTGTGGAGCTTACCTGTCATTGTAGGGCTGTGTGGAGCTTACCTGTCATTGTAGAGCTGTGTGGAGCTTACCTGTCATTGTAGGGCTGTGTGGAGCTTACCTGTCATTGTAGAGCTGTGTGGAGCTTACCTGTCATTGTAGAGCTGTGTGGAGCTTACCTGTCATTGTAGGGCTGTGTGGAGCTTACCTGTCATTGTAGAGCTGTGTGGAGCTTACCTGTCATTGTAGAGCTGTGTGGAGCTTACCTGTCATTGTAGGGCTGTGTGGAGCTTACCTGTCATTGTAGAGCTGTGTGGAGCCTACCTGTCATTGTAGAGCTGTGTGGAGCTTACCTGTCATTGTAGAGCTGTGTGGAGCTTACCTGTCATTGTAGAGCTGTGTGGAGCTTACCTGTCATTGTAGAGCCAGGCCAAGAACTGTGTGGAGTTCCAGTAAGAGCTGTTTGCCGGACATCCATCAGACCAGATAATGTCAGGTTTGTATTTGTTGACCAGCTCGTACAATTCGGGTCCTGTCTTGTGCTGCAAACATAATCACTGATACTGCAAACATCATCACTGATACTGCAAACACAGCTCCATTGGTGGTGGAGTGGGAAAGCGGTCAAAAGCGCCATGCAAGCAAGTGCCAGGTGCTGAGATCGTATCCCACTAGTGACTGTGTTGTTATTCAGCCTTGGAACCAACAATGTTTACAGGTCCTTACAGTGTTGTCACTACCCCTAGTGTACAGTACATTCACCCTGTGCACTCAAAAGAATCCACTTGTCCGATGGTAGATGACCAGATGGTGAAAACACGAATACATTCATACACCTGAAACACAAGTGTCAAAACTTGTGATGTCACCCTGGGCAAGTGACTTCGTTCAAATGTGCCTCTGTTCACCCAGCAGGGAACGGGTACCCGACATGTGAGGTGGATGACAAAACCTTCTAGCGCCGCTGGGCAGCTTGGGTTGTATACTCCCCAGGGAGTTGACAATGATAACTCGAATGTAAGCAGATCCACTGGCAGATACAAGTACCTGGATACCTGCCGTATCTAAATGTATAGTCTAACCTGTAAGTGATGAGACTGAGTTAATATTTAAGGTCACATCGGCAGTATCTCAGCCATATCTGAGAGGTTACTTAGACAGAGCCTAAACAACAACGCACCGTGACAAAGTTCTGTGTCTTAAACAACAACGCACCGTGACAAAGTCCTGTGTCTTAAACAACAACGCACCGTGACAAAGTCCTGTGTCTTAAACAATAACGCACCGTGACAAAGTCCTGTGTCTTAAACAAAAACGCACCGTGACAAAGTCCTGTGTCTTAAACAAAAATGCACAGTGTCAAAGTCCTGTGTCTTAAACAACAACGCACCGTGACAAAGTCCTGTGTCTTGAACTTGTTGGCTTTATCAGCATTGAAGAGAGGATTGAACCACTCAAACAGCGAGTGATAGACGCCCATCCTCAAGTCAGTGCTGTTGCGGATTGCATTAGTTAACTCCCCTGAAAGCAACATAACAAAATACATTTGACTACCATTTCACTCACTTGAGTATGTTTTTTGTTTTTTTCAAAAACAAAAATGACACATGCGGCAAACTTTATGATGATGAGGGCCCAAGCCTGAGAACCAAGACTATTATTTTTTTAGCCTGAACATTATAATTAATTATGCAAAACACCAGTGAGTTTAAAGAGATGCACCACAGCCAAGTCACTTTAGAGTAGACTGTGTGTTCGGAACACATACCGATCAACATGAAAGTGATCATGTGATACCTTGCCTATGCCAGTCCTTGCCTACACCCTCCGTCACCAACACCAGCCCTTACCTACACCGTCCCCTACCTACACTGACCCTTGCCAACGCCAGCCCTTGCCTACACTGTCCCTTGCCTACACTGTCCCTTGCCTACACTGTCCCTTGCCTACACCCTCCCTCACCAACACCAGCCCTTGCCTACACCCTCCCTCACCAACACCAGCCCTTGCCTACACCCTCCCTCACCAACACCAGCCCTTGCCTACACCCTCCCTCACCAACACCAGCCCTTGTCTACACTGTCCCTTGCCTACACCCTCCCTCACCAACACCAGCCCTTGCCTACACCCTCCCTCACCAACACCAGCCCTTGCCTACACCCTCCCTCACCAACACCAGCCCTTGCCTACACCGTCCCTTGCCTACATCCTCCCTCACCAACACCAGCCCTTGCCTACACTGTCCCTTACCTACACTGACCCTTGCCTACACTGACCCTTGCCTACACCGTCCCTTGCCTACACCGTCCCTTACCAACACCAGCCCTTGCCTACACCGTCCCTTACCTACACCGTCCCTTGCCTACACCGTCCCTTACCTACACTGACCCTTGCCTACACCGTCCCTTGCCTACACCGTCCCTTGCCTACATCCTCCCTCACCAACACCAGCCCTTGCCTACACTGTCCCTTACCTACACTGACCCTTGCCTACACTGACCCTTGCCTACACCGTCCCTTGCCTACACCGTCCCTTACCTACATCCTCCCTTGCCTACACTGACCCTTGCCTACACTGTCCCTTGCCTACATCCTCCCTCACCAACACCAGGACTTGCCTACACCGTCCCTTACCTACACTGACCCTTGCCAACACCAGCCCTTGCCTACACCGTCCCTTGCCTACATCCTCCCTCACCAACACCAGGACTTGCCTACACCGTCCCTTACCTACACTGACCCTTGCCAACACCAGCCCTTGCCTACACCGTCCCTTGCCTACATCCTCCCTCACCAACACCAGCCCTTGCCTACACTGTCCCTTACCTACACTGACCCTTGCCTACACTGACCCTTGCCTACACCGTCCCTTGCCTACACCGTCCCTTACCAACACCAGCCCTTGCCTACACCGTCCCTTACCTACACCGTCCCTTGCCTACACCGTCCCTTGCCTACACTGACCCTTGCCTACACCGTCCCTTGCCTACATCCTCCCTCACCAACACCAGCCCTTGCCTACACTGTCCCTTACCTACACTGACCCTTGCCTACACTGACCCTTGCCTACACCGTCCCTTGCCTACACCGTCCCTTACCTACATCCTCCCTTGCCTACACTGACCCTTGCCTACACCCTCCCTCACCAACACCAGCCCTTGCCTACACCGTCCCTTGCCTACACCGTCCCTTACCTACATCCTCCCTTGCCTACACTGACCCTTGCCTACACCGTCCCTTGCCTACACCGTCCCTTACCTACATCCTCCCTTGCCTACACTGTCCCTTGCCTACACCCTCCCTCACCAACACCAGCCCTTGCCTACACCGTCCCTTACCTACACTGACCCTTGCCAACACCAGCCCTTGCCAACACCTGCCCTTGCCAACACCTGCCCTTGCCTACACTGTCCCTTGCCTACATCCTCCCTCACCAACACCAGCCCTTGCCTACATCCTCCCTCACCAACACCAGCCCTTGCCTACACTGTCCCTTGCCTACACCCTCCCTCACCAACACCAGCCCTTGCCTACACCCTCCCTCACCAATACCAGCCCTTGCCTACACCCTCCCTCACCAACACCAGCCTTGCCTACATCCTCCCTCACCAACACCAGCCCTTGCCTACACTGTCTCTTGCCTACACCAGCCCTTGCCTACACCCTCCCTTGCCTACACCCTCCCTCACCAACACCAGCCCTTGCCTACACCGTCCCTTGCCTACACCAGCCCTTGCCTACATCCTCCCTTGCCTACACCCTCCCTCACCAACACCAGCCCTTGCCTACACCCTCCCTCACCAACACCAGCCTTGCCTACATCCTCCCTCACCAACACCAGCCCTTGCCTACACCCTCCCTCACCAACACCAGCCTTGCCTACATCCTCCCTCACCAACACCAGCCCTTGCCTACATCCTCCCTCACCAACACCAGCCTTGCCTACACCCTCTCTCACCAACACCAGCCCTTGCCTACACTGTCCCTTGCCTACACCCTCCCTCACCAACACCAGCCCTTGCCTACACCCTCCCTCACCAACACCCTCCCTCACCAACACCAGCCCTTGCCTACACTGTCCCTTGCCTACACCCTCCCTCACCAACACGAGCCCTTGCCTACATCCTCCCTCACCAACACCTGCCCTTGCCTACACCGTCCCTTACCTACACTGACCCTTGCCTACACTGACCCTTGCCTACATCCTCCCTCACCAACACCAGCCCTTGCCTACACCGTCCCTTGCCTACACCCGTCCTTGCCTACACCCTCCCTTGCCTACACACTCCCTCACCAACACCAGCCCTTGCCTACACTGTCCCATGTCTACACCCTCCCTCACCAACACCAGCCCTTGCCTACACCCTCCCTCACCAACACCAGCCCTTGCCTACACCCTCCCTCACCAACACCAGCCTTGCCTACACCCTCCCTCACCAACACCAGCCCTTGCCTACACCCTCCCTCACCAACACCAGCCCTTGCCTACACCGTCCCTTGCCTACATCCTCCCTCACCAACACCCTCCCTCACCAACACCAGCCCTTGCCTACACCCTCCCTCACCAACACGAGCCCTTGCCTACACTGTCCCTTGCCTACATCCTCCCTCACCAACACCAGCCCTTGCCTACACCCTCCCTCACCAACACCAGCCCTTGCCTACACTGTCCCTTGCCTACATCCTCCCTCACCAACACCAGCCCTTGCCTACACCGTCCCTTACCTACACTGACCCTTGCCTACACTGACCCTTGCCTACACCGTCCCTTACCTACATCCTCCCTCACCAACACCAGCCCTTGCCTACACCGTCCCTCACCAACACCAGCCCTTGCCTACATCCTCCCTCACCAACACCAGCCCTTGCCTACACTGTCCCTTGCCTACACCCTCCCTCACCAACACCAGCCCTTGCCTACACCCTCCCTTACCAACACCAACCCTTGCCTACACTGTCCCTTGCCTACACCCTCCCTCACCAACACCAGCCCTTGCCTACACCCTCCCTCACCAACACCAGCCCTTGCCTACACTGTCCCTTACCAACACCAGCCCTTGCCTACACTGTCCCTTGCCTACATCCTCCCTCACCAACACCAGCCCTTGCCTACACCGTCCCTTACCTATACTGACCCTTGCCCACACCATCCGTTACCTACACCCTCCCTCACCAACACCAGCCCTTGCCTACACCCTCCCTCACCAACACCAGCCTTGCCTACACCCTCCCTCACCAACAACAGCCCTTGCCTACATCCTCCCTCACCAACACCAGCCCTTGCCTACACCGTCCCTTACCTACACTGACCCTTGCCTACACTGACCCTTGCCTACACCGTCCCTTACCTACACCGTCCCTTGCCTACACCGTCCCTTACCTACACTGACCCTTGCCTACACCGTCCCTTACCTACACTGTCCCTTGCCTACACTGACCCTTGCCTACACTGACCCTTGCCTACACTGTCCCTTGCCTACACCCTCCCTCACCAACACCAGCCCTTGCCTACACCCTCCCTCACCAACACCAGCCCTTGCCTACACCGTCCCTTGCCTACATCCTCCCTCACCAACACCCTCCCTCACCAACACCAGCCCTTGCCTACACTGTCCCTTGCCTACACCCTCCCTCACCAACACCAGCCCTTGCCTACACCCTCCCTCACCAACACCAGCCCTTGCCTACACCGTCCCTTGCCTACACCCTCCCTCACCAACACCCTCCCTCACCAACACCAGCCCTTGCCTACACTGTCCCTTGCCTACATCCTCCCTCACCAACACCAGCCCTTGCCTACATCCTCCCTCACCAACACCAGCCCTTGCCTACACCGTCCCTTACCTACACTAACCCTTGCCTACACTGACCCTTGCCTACACCGTCCCTTACCTACATCCTCCCTCACCAACACCAGTCCTTGCCTACACCGTCCCTTACCTACATCCTCCCTCACCAACACCAGGACTTGCCTACACCGTCCCTTACCTACACTGACCCTTGCCAACACCAGCCCTTGCCTACACTGTCCCTTGCCTACACCCTCCCTCACCAACACCAGCCCTTGCCTACATTTTCCCTTGCCTACACCCTCCCTCACCAACACGAGCCCTTGCCTACACTGTCCCTTGCCTACACCGTCCCTTACCTACACTGACCCTTGCCTACACCGTCCCTTACCTACATCCTCCCTCACCAACACCAGCCCTTGCCTACACCGTCCCTCACCAACACCAGCCCTTGCCTACATCCTCCCTCACCAACACCAGCCCTTGCCTACACTGTCCCTTGCCTACACCCTCCCTCACCAACACCAGCCCTTGCCTACACCCTCCCTTACCAACACCAGCCCTTGCCTACACTGTCCCTTGCCTACACCCTCCCTCACCAACACCAGCCCTTGCCTACACCCTCCCTCACCAACACCAGCCCTTGCCTACACTGTCCCTTACCAACACCAGCCCTTGCCTACACTGTCCCTTGCCTACATCCTCCCTCACCAACACCAGCCCTTGCCTACACCGTCCCTTACCTATACTGACCCTTGCCCACACCATCCGTTACCTACACCCTCCCTCACCAACACCAGCCCTTGCCTACACCCTCCCTCACCAACACCAGCCTTGCCTACACCCTCCCTCACCAACAACAGCCCTTGCCTACATCCTCCCTCACCAACACCAGCCCTTGCCTACACCGTCCCTTACCTACACTGACCCTTGCCTACACTGACCCTTGCCTACACCGTCCCTTACCTACACCGTCCCTTGCCTACACCGTCCCTTACCGACACTGACCCTTGCCTACACCGTCCCTTACCTACACCGTCCCTTGCCTACACTGACCCTTGCCTACACTGACCCTTGCCTACACTGTCCCTTGCCTACACCCTCCCTCACCAACACCAGCCCTTGCCTACACCCTCCCTCACCAACACCAGCCCTTGCCTACACCGTCCCTTGCCTACACCCTCCCTCACCAACACCCTCCCTCACCAACACCAGCCCTTGCCTACACTGTCCCTTGCCTACACCCTCCCTCACCAACACCAGCCCTTGCCTACACCCTCCCTCACCAACACCAGCCCTTGCCTACACCGTCCCTTGCCTACACCCTCCCTCACCAACACCCTCCCTCACCAACACCAGCCCTTGCCTACACTGTCCCTTGCCTACATCCTCCCTCACCAACACCAGCCCTTGCCTACATCCTCCCTCACCAACACCAGCCCTTGCCTACACCGTCCCTTACCTACACTAACCCTTGCCTACACTGACCCTTGCCTACACCGTCCCTTACCTACATCCTCCCTCACCAACACCAGTCCTTGCCTACACCGTCCCTTACCTACATTGACCCTTGCCAACACCAGCCCTTGCCTACACTGTCCCTTGCCTACACCCTCCCTCACCAACACCAGCCCTTGCCTACATTTTCCCTTGCCTACACCCTCCCTCACCAACACCAACCCTAGCCTACACCCTCCCTCACCAACACCAGCCCTTGCCTACACTGTCCCTTGCCTACACCCTCCCTCACCAACACCAGCCCTTGCCTACACTGTCTCTTACCAACACCAGCCCTTGCCTACACTGTCCCTTGCCTACACCCTCCCTCACCAACACCAGCCCTTGCCTACACCCTCCCTTGCCTACACTGTCCCTTGCCTACACCCTCCCTCACCAACACCAGCCTTGCCTACATCCTCCCTCACCAACACCAGCCCTTGCCTACACCGTCCCTTACCAACACCAGCCCTTGCCTACACCGTCCCTTACCAACACCAGCCCTTGCCTACACCGTCCCTTACCAACACCAGCCCTTGCCTACACCCTCCCTCACCAACACCAGCCCTTGCCTACACCCTCCCTCACCAACACCAGCCTTGCCTACATCCTCCCTCACCAACACCAGCCCTTGCCTACACCCTCCCTTACCAACACCAGCCCTTGCCTACACTGTCCCTTGCCTACACCCTCCCTCACCAACACCAGCCCTTGCCTACACCCTCCCTTACCAACACCAGCCCTTGCCTACACCCTCCCTTACCAACACCAGCCATTGCCTACACCCTCCCTCACCAACACCAGCCCTTGCCTACACCGTCCCTTACCAACACCAGCCCTTGCCTACACCCTCCCTCACCAACACCAGCCCTTGCCTACACCGTCCCTTACCTACACTGACCCTTGCCTACACCGTCCCTTATCTACATCCTCCCTCACCAACACCAGCCCTTGCCTACACCGTCCCTTACCTACACCCTCCCTCACCAACACCAGCCCTTGCCTACACCGTCCCTCACCAACACCATCCCTTGCCTACACCGTCCCTAACCTACACCCTCCCTTACCTACACCGTCCCTTGCCTAAACGGACCCTTGCCTGCACCTTTTTCCTTACCTACAACTTCCCTTGCCTACACCATCCCTTACCTACACTTTCCCTTGCCTACACCATCCCTTACCTACACTTTCCCTTGTCTACACCGTCCTTTACCTACACTTTCCCTTGCTTACACCATCCCTTACCTACAATATCCCTTCGGGGACCCACATCCATCGAGTTCCAGTTGAAGGATGCCTTGGAAGGCCAGTTGGTGAAGCCTTCATGGTGCTTGCTCACAAACACCACGTAGCTGAAACAAGTCAATTGGTTGCCATGGTTATAAAAGTACTCTTGCATCATTAATGTACCACATGACCTTGGGTCACATCCCCTAGCTGTGGCTTGCAGTATAAATAAACCACCAAGTCATATCTAAACAGTACTTTAACATACACAGATATGGTGATCAGCAGGTCCGGAGAACCTCAGAGATGAGGGTTTAATGTCCTTTTCAAGATTACAGCAACGTACATGCATGTGTGTGTTTCTGCTTGTAGTTGTCCTGACTACAGCCAGTTTTTTAGTGCTAGCCCACTGAGATACCATACCAGATATTTAAGATAGATCCCCCACTCAGACAGAGTATACTGGCACCAAGCAGATCAGTCCTTGTTTTATCCCCTTGTGCTGAGCGCCATGCAGGGTAACAACAAGTACCATCTTTTAAAGTCTCTTGGTTGTGGACCGAACCCTCGACTTTCCACCCTGTGACGAAACACTCCATCAATTGACCACTGACGCAGACAGGGTATTGGACCACCCACCTTCTGCCCTGCGGAACGAATCTTGGTCCACTTGACCAAAACCAGAGGTGCATTTGAGTACAATTACAGTACAATCACTGTCCCCAAGTCAGTGCAACCTCCTCGCTCCCACATGCATCCTAGATTTTCTAACCTTGACTGAAAGAAAACTGAAATTATTATCAAGATTTTAAGGTTGTGCTTCAATCATAGAGTGTTGTGGTTGACCAGGCTTCGTCTGAAGGCTCATGGCTATATGTTACACACTGTCACAACATGAGTTGTAGAAGACATCTCCAGTTAATTCCAATTACGCCACAGCTTGTTTCACATTAGTTTAGACCGCCTCTGTGGTCTAGAGGTAGAGCGTCTGCCTGGGGAGCGGAAGGTCCGAAGTTTGATCCTTGCCATGGACGTTAAAAGATGCTACTTGTTGCTACCCTGTCTGACGCTCGGCATTAACATGATTAAGGACTGGGCCGCTCAGAGTCTGTATACTGTGTCTGAGTGAGGAATTCATGTTAACCTGTGGCATTGTATCTCAGTGGGATAGCACTATAAATCAGCATCAGTACAGACTAGTAAAAGCAGCTACACACATACACACTAGGGCTGGTATGGGTAACTCGGGTACCCGGGTACTGAATAGGGATGTGGGTACCCGGGTAGTAAATTTGGACTCGTCCTAGCCCTAATACACACATCTGACTAATACACATGGTACAAGCAGCCACACACAAACACACACCTGGTGCTCAGCATTAAGGGGCTAAAACAAGTACTGGTCAGCTCGGAGTCAGTATGTCTATGCCTTAGTGGGGTATTCATGTTCAACTGTGGCATGGTATCTCAGTGGACTAGCACTATAAATCGACATCAGTCCGGACTAGTACAAGCAGTCACACACATACAGACATGCATGTCGCTATGTAAGTGCATTAGTCTTGGACGCGACGTAAAACCCCATTTCACCTCACCTCACCTCCCTTTAGTTTATAGTAGGCTACCATGGATACAACACTACACTTCCACTAGTCTCGTACCTTCGTCTGTATGTCAAGCCCTGTGATAGTGTGTCATTGACATGACAGCTCCGTGTACATCCCAGCCGAGAGTCGCGATGGGGTCCTAGTCAACACATCACCCATCAGGGCACTCGTCTCTGTACATACCTGGCCATTCTAGACTTCACTCTTAAACATGTCTGTACAAAAACCAACTCGTGACCGATCAATAAAATACATTACCGTGCTCCTGACGCTTGGAAAATGTCTGCCCATCGATAGGGGCTGAAGAACTCGGCTGTGAAATGTGGTGCAAAGTCTGCATACGTAAAACCTGGCCGGTAGTTGTCTTCCATAAACTTGACGACGCTCTTGACTGGTGTGGGGCCCTTCCAGTAATACCAGAACCACTCGTCCACGTAACTGGGCACGGAAAACACTCCCCAGTGAATAAAGATACCGATCTTACTCTCATCATACCAGCTTGGCAGGGGCCTCGAGTCTATGGACTGCCAGTTCGGCTCGTATCGACACTCGCCCAGTGTAAATACAGTAAACAAGCACAACAATCCAGCAACTGCAGAGATGATCGCCATTTTGAAATCGACCGATCACATGACAGATCGAGTCACGTGATCGTTCTAAGCTTTTGTTCGCACGGGTTTGTGTTCGTCATTCTGACACCGGACAATGGCAAATGTTTTTCGTACTCTGTTTTTATTTTTTTTATACCGCGTAGTCGATTAATAATTAATAAATCATTTATATCATTGAATTTTATGTACTTTTTAACACTAATGTGATTGACAAGATTCAGGAAAAACATGGCAAATTTGCGGACCTCGCTTTCGAAATGTCACGCTTGCATCCTTATATAAGACAATTATTGCTTCAAACTGGGTTTTCACATGTGTGGTTGTCTCAGGATTGCGGCGATATAAAATGCTACATGGTTGTATTCAAACAACGATGTAAAGACATAGAATTCAAAAACTGGCATCACAAAATCACCAATTCTTCTTTCCTTGATTTTTATTCATCTTATAAATCACTAATCGAACCAGAAAAATATCTGTCTACGTTAGCATGTGAAGGAGATCTTCCAAGAGCTTTGTGTAAATTCCGTCCCACAGCATCCAGTGGGATAAAATCAAAGCCCTCGCCACCAACCTCAAAGACTTCAAAATCAGGAAACTACAAGAAGCCATCAACAACAAAAGATTCCAATCGTCAATCAACCGTGACCAAGGCGTACCATCATTCCCCCGGCGTACCATCAACTCATCAAAGACACTAATCAGCCATAATCCTGTTGTTTATATTACTGGCTTCATCCTTTGTTTATGTCACTGACTTCACCGATGATTGTCATTACTACCCATGTGTGTACATAACAGGCTCCTCACTCCAGGGGGGCGGTCGGGTAGCCTAGTGGTTAAAGCGTTCGCTCGTCAAGCCGAAGACCCAGGTTCGATTCCCGACATGGGTACAATGTCTATTTATGCACAATTTTAGCGAAATTATAGATTAATCATAACTTGGTTTAAGTCGGAAAAATCACTCGAATATGTTGATTCTCATGAATCAAAATACGGAGAAGGCCAAATGAAAATATACGACCAACATGCTCCCACACATTTAAATAAATTAACAGTAATACAATAATCACCTCTATTTAAAATATCAAATTCAATGTTTGTATAAACTGTATCCAACCAGGGTCGCAACTTTGCAAGACCGTAGCATTGTACAGAATTACTGAGACCTGGGCACACCCTCGGACTGAACCACACATCAACAGCCCAGTCTACTGGGTGAACTCCATACTGCGAGATATTAACGAATCGACGCTGGATTTGACCTCTTGACGGTCCGCCTTTCAGTTCAGCGTTATCTTCATCCGACATGATCATGGACGAGATTTGTCAAGTTAGACGTATGATTCTTTAGCTGCATCACAAAGGACCAGGGAATGCCTGGAGTTGAATTGTTGATGCAAACACCGCGCGTTATTTCATCAAGAGGAAATTATTGTCGCGTGTCTGTGATTCCCTGATACTAGATGGAGCTGGTGAGTAATTGAGTTGGGTTTTTGACACCATATCGTTGCAGGGGATGTCTTGAATGGACTTCACACCTATATACCCATTTGGGAATCGAACCAGGTCTTCCTTGTACCCAACGTTTTACCCATAAAGCTACCCTGCCGCCCACGTTATGAATGAATCTGTGTTTGCACATATGCTGCTGGATAAAACCATATCAACCTGGCACCTCTCTTTAGAGGTATTAGGCGCAGTACGATATTTCCTGAAATGTAAATGTTTTAAACACTTACAGTACGATATTTCTTTGAAAGGTAAATATGTGAACACTTACAGTACGATATTTCCTGAAATGTAAAAGTGTAAACACTTACAGTGCGATATTTCCTGAAATTAAAATGATTTAAACACTTACAGTACGATATTTCCTGAAAGGTAAATATGTGAACACTTACAGTACGATATTTCCTGAAAGGTTAATATGTGAACACTTACAGTACGATATTTCCTGAAATGTAAACGTTACATGGGTAAACGTTAAATGGGTAAACATTATACACACTGTAAGCGTTTAAAACATTTACATTTCAGGAAATATCGTACTCTTAGTGTTTAAAACATTTGATAATACCCTGTGTACACACTGCAATGAAGAAAATAGAAAACAATGAGGTCTTCGATCTGGTTGGTAGTACCCGAAAGTTATCCCTGAAGATCCGGGTCAGAGTTGATCTCAACCCACCCATGCATGTCGAAAGCCACCAATTGGATCGAAGACCTCATTGTTTTCTATTTCATTGCAGTGTGTACACAGGGTATTATCAAGAAGCTTGTGTGTGTGCTTTGGTTATAAACGTGCGGACCATTTTCGTTTAAACTTTGCAATTGCAACAAAAGTTTAACCTATAGTTTTATCCTTGAAACATATTCTTCTTGCACCAGGAACGCATGAATTCCCTGCAGTTCGTGAATAAGTGAGCTAGTATACTTTTGTACCATGTTCCAGACACCGAGAATGCACATTCTCCCCATGGTGTGAACTGGGTGGCAAACGATCTGACGAGGCAACGTTTTAAGCAATAGGCTTCACCCTGCCTAATTTTCCAGCATGTCTGACGAACAAATCATTTTCTTGGGTACAAAACGAGGCCTCTCCTAAAATATTTTGTTCAAAAGGTAATTCATGTAGATTAAGACAAATTGTCAAATTTAAAAATACTTTGTCACCTGTATTTCAATTCCCGCTAAATCAGTCTGAATAAAGTCCTTAATCTGGTATTGGAAGCAACACTCACTCACTCACTCACTCACTCACTCACTCACTCACTCCTCTAACCCATTCACTAACTCACCCACTCACTCACTCCACCAACCCAAACACTCACTCACTCACTCGACCACTGTATTCATAATATAGACTATATCTACAGGAAAAGCTCACATCCTTGAGTGATGACGCAAATACTCTTGTCCATCACGTTGTCCATCAGCACGTGGGGGGTGTCTTTGAAAAGGACGCCTTGAATTTCAAAAGAAATATATCTGTAAATCTGGAAAGTTATGCAAGCAGGAAAGTGCTGGGGCAATTGCGAATGACCCAAACTCGAAATAGTTTCATGACGCAGTTATTTTTCCAGACCAACAACAAACAAAAGGCGTAAGGAGAAGTATTCCTTCCTAATTATCAAATATAACACCTGTATAAATGTAGCTTTGATATTTGGTAATCTCAACAGGGGTGGCAAAGCTTTCCCCACACAGTTAAGACTATTGTCAACCCACCCACAGTAATTTCATGGCACAAAACTTTCCAGATTCACAGTACTTTCTGAAATAACCTTGAGGGTTGATGGAAACTACCTGGAACAGCGTATCATAAAACAAGACTTCATCACGTCAGTATCACATTCTCTTTCAGTAGTATTGTTGAACAGTTCTACTGGGCGATACTCTACTAGCAACGTTGTACCATACGTTCCTATAGTTCTTCAGCGCTAGCGTTCTCCCTACGATGGAAGCGACCAAACCGCCATCATCGCCACGTTACTTCGCAATGTTGCTGCTTGTCTCCTGTGTCGCCGGCCAACACGCGGACTGTGGGGGCCCAGGTAACATCACGGAGTTAATGGCCAGACTGAACAGTCTAAATCCTGGCACGTTCGTCCAGTACGACCCGCAAGGACATCTTGATGGTGTGACCAGGTCGGTCAATACTACTACTACTATTCACTCATACCCCGACTGCCCTACGTCTGTAGGAGATCCATCAGCTGCTGTCAACGACAGGGCGTTGTGTCCATGGCAGAACAGAGAGGTGCACTATCTAGGTCAGTACCCCCCGTCGCTGGTAGAGGCAAGATGCTTGTGTCAAAGGTGTGTGGAGAACAGGGGTTTCAGCTGTGAACCCGTCACGTCCGCCACCTGGGTCCTGCAGCAGACTGGGGAATGTAGATCAGGTGCCCGGATGTACCGAGCGATTCAGAGGAATATCACAGTGGGATGTACCTGTGTCAATCCAGTCACCAATGGACGGACATAAAGGCATCGGCCAGCGTACCACCCAAGTTGAACACGACTGACTTCAGAATCTGTGCAATATCATGATGACTATGGCATACAGTTACCAACCACCATCTTATTAGAGATTATCTTTAGTTTCATACCACGTCTCAACGCCCATACCCATCTTGTAACAAATAATAAAATACATGTACCATGTGATATGGTTTAAGTAGTTTATTTCAACACGTTGACCATTCAATACAATTTCTTTTTGTGTTCACCAACAATTCAAAATCACGTGGAAACAGCTTCAAGCAGATCGCCATTTTTGAAATGGCTAAAAAAGATGAAACGGGGATATCAAGTACGGATACGGATTCGTTTATAATTCTGGGCGGTCGGGTAGCCTAGTGGTTAAAGCGTTCGCTCGTCACGCCGAAGACCCGGGTTCGATTCCCGACATGAGTACAATGGTGTCCCCCGCCGTGATATTGCTGGAATATTGCTAAAAGCGGCGTAAAACCATACTCACTCCAATTACTTACACTCCACTCCACCTTACATTTGAAAATTGTATTATATATTTTATAGAATAGTAACTTGGACTACTGTAGCAGCCAGCCACGAAGTATTCCGGATACTGGAGTTGTTGAAAATATGCATCAGTCACAATTATTTAATATATTTTCATTTTAGCCAAATATTGCTTACATCATAATTCCGTTAAATAAAGTCATAAACGATTTTGGAATATTATTTATCACACGTAGGTGTTGCGATATTATACCAGAATTCAACTTTGAAATAAACTGACGACCAAAAGAAAAAATGAAATTGCAAAAATATAGAACACAAGTTGAAACTAAATCAATTCAAAACACAACATTGCTCTATGCTGAAAGTGATACACATCCACAACACGATTTATTTGTAGAAATAATTATTTGAAAACACGTGCCGCTCTGGCAGCTGAAAATACACGTGCAATAAGGGTATATAATAACACGGACCGCATGTCACACAGTCACGCTGATAAACAACACAACACAGAAATGCCACGACTGACACCTGATCAACACGAGCGGGCCCTGAGTTTGATACCAATGGGAGCTACTCATGCCCACATTGCTAGAACTGTGGTTGCTCCCGTGTTGGTGTAGCTAACCATATGCCACGTTACAGGCAGCCAGGGCAGACATCAGACATGCCAAGAACAGGCAGACCCAGGGTAACTACGCCCAATGAAGACTTCTACTTGGTAATTTGACAGCTGAGCGTTACATGGATAACATTCGTCGTCCGACTGTCCTACAATTTCTACATCTGCCGCGTGGTGTCCGTTATAGGCATGGCAACGCTCGACCCCATACAGCCCGGATCGTACAGAACTTCCTTGCAGCCAACGACGCCAACGCGTTACCGTGGCCTGCACGCTCCCCAGACATGTCCCCCATAGTACAACACTGGGGTGTCATGGATCGTCGTGTTCGACAGCGACCACATCCTCGAGCCAACCGACAAGAATCGATTCAGGCCCCCCAAGAGTGTGTGAGTGAGTGTGGTTTTACGCCGCTTTTAGCAATATTCCAGCAATATCACGACGGGGGACACCAGAAACGGGCTTCACACATTGTACCCATGTTGCAAATCGAACCCAGGTCTTCAACAATAGTGCGCCGGAGAGTTTTGTAGAGTCTTCTCACAGGGGGTGGTCATACACGTTATTAATGTGACATGTCATTGAATTTGGGCGATTTTAGATGTGCGTGCCCTTTGTCCATTATGTTTAAAGCTTGTTTTCACTACCCCACCTCAATTCGGGCAACTGCCATGCCAATATCGGATGCAGTATGACTGTCGCGACACTCTCAATAATTTGCATATTTTCTTCACCCCATATTCCTGAACTGTTTGACCAGACATGTAATACCGTACTATCAGAAGTCGAGACAAGGCAAGCAAGGGGTAAGTTAATTGAAGCCTTGTCTCCAGATCATACCATATGCGTTTTTAATACCAAGGACGACGCACAACATGTACTCTTGATTGCATAAAGTATTTTGTGCTTCGGTCTGGCGTCGTATATGATGATAAGAACATTAACGTCCCTTTCAAAAGCCTGACTGTATTCTCGAGAAAAGCCTGTTGTTCTCAAGAAAATAATTCAATCGAATTTTGAGAAATCTTTCCATAATTTTACATAGATTGGAAGTAAGTGAAACCGGTCTATATGAAGCAGGCGAAGTGGTGGCCTTCTATGGTTTTGGTACTGGAACGTTGATGGCATGTGTCCAGGCTTAGGAATAGTCGCAGAAGATTTCTGATAATTAAAAGAGCAGAATCAGGCATTACTAAAACATCCCATAACACGTCTCATTATTTGTTTATAATGTTGACACCTTTGATTTCATTGTATGAGGATTGGGTGTTTTTGCCAGAGCTACAGTCCAACATGGCCGTAGAAATGTCAGGTAAAGAATGTGGTTTCATGAGTCCATGAGTTCTCTGAAATCCCTCTGGAATTTACCAGAGCTACTAACAGTTTGAAATTATTCAGCTAGTGCATTAGCCTTCTGAAAGTTGGTCACTACACTGCCTCCTACGCCTAAACAGGTATAGGACAACAGCTATGAGTACCACTGATACTTTTTATTTTAGACCAAACAGAAGATAATGGAGTAAATCTATTTATACTTGAAATATAGTTACCCAAGCTTGAGCGTTTAGTCACACGAACAACACGTTGAAACTCGGCACGTTTCTTCCTGAACACTTCCAGGTCACAAGGAGAAGAAGTAGGACACACCCAATTCTAGACTTGTTTCTTTGCTTTGTTAGCCTGTTCACATTCATCGTCCCAGCACACGTTGGGGATGAAGGGAGACTGCTAACTGACGTTTTCCAATAGTATCCCGGGATGTTTACAACAATTGGGAAGTAACGTTGTCATTTTAAACATCAACATCTTCATTTATGAGTTCAGAGAAATGTGTGGCCCACAATGAGAATAAAAATCGGACTAGTTTCATTTTTAAATTTCCTTCGTGGAAAATGCATACAAGGGGATCTAAGTGGAGTGACTTGACCCTATTACAGACGTGTTCCCTTGCTGTATTTGCCTTCATCATCCCTCCAAACTTTGGGGATGAAAGTAGATCGTTTACTTGACGATTTTTCCAATGGTTGCCCAGGATATTTTAATAATTCGTAAAGTAATGTTATCATTTGAATCATCAACATTTTCGTTTATTAGAACCGCGTCCGTGGTCTAGTGGTAGAGCGGCCGCCCGGAGAGCGAAAGGTCCGGGGTTCATCTCCAGCCGCGTCATACCAAAAGACGTTGACAGATGGTACTTGTTGTTAGTTGACAATGGACGGCTTGGAGTAAGTATAGAACCTGATGAGGGGGATATAATCGCAACGTCCAAGGGCAAAAAACACCCATCTCCCCGAAATCCATCCGGGCCATTTTACAAACATTTAAAATCATCAGCTCTGATTCATGTTTGATCTGGTGTACAATTATATCCAAACGTATGTTAAAACTTCAATCACGTTCCACGACATCCACGACCCATTGGCAGCCTGAAGAAAACAGTTAGGGTTCCACGACATCCACTACCCATTGGGAGCCTCAAGAAAACAGTTAGGGTTCCACGACATCCACTACCCATTGGCAGCCTGAAGAAAACAGTTAGGGTTCCACGACATCCACCACCCATTGGCAGCCTGAAGAAAACAGTTAGGGTTCCACAACATCCACTACCCATTGGCAGCCTGAAGAAAACAGTTAGGGTTCCACGACATCCACTACCCATCGGCAGCCTGAAGAAAACAGTTAGGGTTCCACGACATCCACTACCCATTGGCAGCCTGAAGAAAACAGTTAGGGTTTCACGACATCCACCACCCATTGGCAGCCTGAAGAAAACAGTTAGGGTTCCACGACATCCACTACCCATTGGCAGCCTGAAGAAAACAGTTAGGGTTCCACGACATCCACCACCCATTGGCAGCCTGAAGAAAACAGTTAGGGTTCCACGACATCCACTACCCATTGGCAGCCTGAAGAAAACAGTTAGGGTTCCACGACATCCACCACCCATTGGCAGCCTGAAGAAAACAGTTAGGGTTCCACGACATCCACTACCCATTGGCAGCCTGAAGAAAACAGTTAGGGTTCCACGACATCCACCACCCATTGGCAGCCTGAAGAAAACAGTTAGGGTTCCACGACATCCACTACCCATTGGCAGCCTGAAGAAAACAGTTAGGGTTCCACGACATCCACCACCCATTGGCAGCCTGAAGAAAACAGTTAGGGTTCCACGACATCCACTACCCATTGGCAGCCTGAAGAAAACAGTTAGGGTTCCACGACATCCACCACCCATTGGCAGCCTGAAGAAAACAGTTAGGGTTCCACGACATGCACTACCCATTGGCAGCCTGAAGAAAACAGTTAGGGTTCCACGACATCCACCACCCATTGGCAGCCTGAAGAAAACAGTTAGGGTTCCACGACATCCACTACCCATTGGCAGCCTGAAGAAAACAGTTAGGGTTTCACGACATGCATTACCCATTGGCAGCCTGAAGAAAACAGTTAGGGTTCCACGACATGCACTACCCATTAGGAGCCTCAAGAAAACAGTTAGGGTTCCACGACATCCACGACCCATTGGGAGCCTCAAGAAAACAGTTAGGGTTCCACGACATCCACTACCCATAAGGAGCCTCAAGAAAGCAGTTAGGGTTCCACGACATCCACTACCCATTGGGAGCCTCAAGAAAACAGTTAGGGTTCCACGACATCCACTACCCATTGGCAGCCTGAAGAAAACAGTTAGGGATCCACGACATCCACTACCCATTGGCAGCCTGAAGAAAACAGTTAGTGTTCCATGACATCCACTACCCATTGGCAGCCTGAAGAAAACAGTTAGGGTTCCACGACATCCACTACCCATTGGGAGCCTCAAGAAAACAGTTAGGGTTCACACGACATCCACTACCCATGGCAGCCTGAAGAAAATAGTTAGGGTTCCACGACATGCACGACCCATTGGCAGCCTGAAGAAAACAGTTAGGGTTCCACAACATCCACTACCCATTGGCAGCCTGAAGAAAACAGTTAGGGTTCCACGACATCCACTACCCATCGGCAGCCTGAAGAAAACAGTTAGGGTTCCACGACATCCACTACCCATTGGCAGCCTGAAGAAAACAGTTAGGGTTTCACGACATCCACCACCCATTGGCAGCCTGAAGAAAACAGTTAGGGTTCCACGACATCCACTACCCATTGGCAGCCTGAAGAAAACAGTTAGGGTTCCACGACATCCACCACCCATTGGCAGCCTGAAGAAAACAGTTAGGGTTCCACGACATCCACTACCCATTGGCAGCCTGAAGAAAACAGTTAGGGTTCCACGACATCCACCACCCATTGGCAGCCTGAAGAAAACAGTTAGGGTTCCACGACATGCACTACCCATTGGCAGCCTGAAGAAAACAGTTAGGGTTCCACGACATCCACCACCCATTGGCAGCCTGAAGAAAACAGTTAGGGTTCCACGACATCCACTACCCATTGGCAGCCTGAAGAAAACAGTTAGGGTTTCACGACATGCATTACCCATTGGCAGCCTGAAGAAAACAGTTAGGGTTCACACGACATGCACTACCCATTGGCAGCCTGAAGAAAACAGTTAGGGTTCCACAACATCCACTACCCATTGGCAGCCTGAAGAAAACAGTTAGGGTTCCACGACATCCACGACCCATTGGCAGCCTGAAGAAAACAGTTAGGGTTCCACAACATCCACTACCCATTGGCAGCCTGAAGAAAACAGTTAGGGTTCCACGACATCCACTACCCATCGGCAGCCTGAAGAAAACAGTTAGGGTTCCACGACATCCACTACCCATTGGCAGCCTGAGGAAAACAGTTAGGGTTTCACGACATCCACCACCTATTGGCAGCCTGAAGAAAACAGTTAGTGTTCCACGACATCCAAAAACCCATTGGCAGCCTGAAGAAAACAGTTAGAGTTCCACGACATCCACTACCCATTGGCAGCCTGAAGAAAACAGTTAGGGTTCCACGACATCCACCACCCATTGGCAGCCTGAAGAAAACAGTTAGGGTTCCACGACATCCACTACCCATTGGCAGCCTGAAGAAAACAGTTAGGGTTTCACGACATGCATTACCCATTGGCAGCCTGAAGAAAACAGTTAGGGTTCCACGACATGCACTACCCATTGGCAGCCTGGAGAAAACAGTTAGGGTTCCACGACATGCACTACCCATTGGCAGCCTGAAGAAAACAGTTAGGGTTCCATGTCATCCACGACCCATTGGCCACCTGAAGAAAACAGTTAGGGTTCCACGAACTCCACCACCCATTGGCAGCCTGAAGAAAACAGTTAGGGTTCCACGACATCCACTACCCATTGGCAGCCTGAAGAAAACAGTTAGGGTTCCACGACATCCACGACCCATTGGCAGCCTGAAGAAAACAGTTAGGGTTCCACGACATGCACTACCCATTGGCAGCCTGAAGAAAACAGTTAGGGTTCCACGACATCCACTACCCATTGGCAGCCTCAAGAAAACAGTTAGGGTTCCACGACATCCACTACCCATTGGCAGCCTGAAGAAAACAGTTAGGGTTCACACGACAGCCACTACCCATTGGCAGCCTGAAGAAAACAGTTAGGGTTCCACGACATCCACTACCCATTGGCAGCCTGAAGAAAACAGTTAGGGTTCCACGACATCCACTACCCATTGGGAGCCTCAAGAAAACAGTTAGGGTTCACACGACATCCACTACCCATGGCAGCCTGAAGAAAACAGTTAGGATTCCATGTCATCCACTACCCATTGGCGGCGTGATGAAAACAGTTAGGGTTCCACGAACCCCACTACCCATTGGCAGCCTGACGAAAACAGTTAGGATTCCACGACATGCACTACCCATTGGCAGCCTGGAGAAAACAGTTAGGGTTCCACGACATGCACTACCAATTGGCAGCCTGAAGAAAACAGTTAGGGTTCCATGTCATCCACGACCCATTGGCCACCTGAAGAAAACAGTTAGGGTTCCACGAACTCCACTACCCATTGGCAGCCTGAAGAAAACAGTTAGGGTTCCACGACATCCACTACCCATTGGCAGCCTGAAGAAAACAGTTAGGGTTCCACGACATCCACGACCCATTGGCAGCCTGAAGAAAACAGTTAGGGTTCCACGACATGCACTACCCATTGGCAGCCTGAAGAAAACAGTTAGGGTTCCACGACATCCACTACCCATTCGCAGCCTCAAGAAAACAGTTAGGGTTCCACGACATCCACTACCCATTGGCAGCCTGAAGAAAACAGTTAGGGTTTCACAACATGCATTACCCATTGGCAGCCTGAAGAAAACAGTTAGGGTTCCACGACATGCAGTACCCATTGGCAGCCTGAAGAAAACAGTTAGGGTTCCACGAATTCCACTACCCATGGCAGCCTGAAGAAAACAGTTAGGGTTTCACGACATGCATTACCCATTGGCAGCCTGAAGAAAACAGTTAGGGTTCCACGACATGCACTACCCATTGGCAGCCTGAAGAAAACAGTTAGGGTTCCACAACATCCACTACCCATTGGCAGCCTGAAGAAAACAGTTAGGGTTCCACGACATCCACGACCCATTGGCAGCCTCAAGAAAACAGTTAGGGTTCCACAACATCCACTACCCATTGGCAGCCTGAGGAAAACAGTTAGGGTTCCACGACATCCACTACCCATCGGCAGCCTGAAGAAAACAGTTAGGGTTCCACGACATCCACTACCCATTGGCAGCCTGAGGAAAACAGTTAGGGTTTCACGACATCCACCACCCATTGGCAGCCTGAAGAAAACAGTTAGTGTTCCACGGCATCCACTACCCATTGGCAGCCTGAAGAAAACAGTTAGGGTTCCACGACATCCACTACCCATTGACAGCCTGAAGAAAACAGTTAGGGTTCCATGACATCCACTACCCATTGGCAGCCTGAAGAAAACAGTTAGGGTTCCACGACATCCACTACCCATTGGCAGCCTGAAGAAAACAGTTAGGGTTCCACGACATCCACTACCCATTGGCAGCCTCAAGAAAACAGTTAGGGTTCCACGACATCCACTACCCATTCGCAGCCTCAAGAAAACAGTTAGGGTTCACACGACAGCCACTACCCATTGGCAGCCTGAAGAAAACAGTTAGGGTTCCACGACATCCACTACCCATTGGCAGCCTGAAGAAAACAGTTAGGGTTCCACGACATCCACTACCCATTGGGAGCCTCAAGAAAACAGTTAGGGTTCACACGACATCCACTACCCATGGCAGCCTGAAGAAAACAGTTAGGATTCCATGTCATCCACTACCCATTGGCGGCGTGATGAAAACAGTTAGGGTTCCACGAACCCCACTACCCATTGGCAGCCTGACGAAAACAGTTAGGGTTCCACGAACCCCACTACCCATTGGCAGCCTGACGAAAACAGTTAGGGTTCCACGACATGCACTACCCATTGGCAGCCTGGAGAAAACAGTTAGGGTTCCACGACATGCACTACCAATTGGCAGCCTGAAGAAAACAGTTAGGGTTCCATGTCATCCA